TTCTGGGTCTGAAGTCTCAAATCAATGTTCAGTACAGAAATCAGTACAGAAATCAAACCAACAACAATCCTACTACCCCAGTAGCGAAGACCAATTGCATCACTGACTTGGGTCCTGCGTCATTCCACTCTCAAGGCGAAGGCCAAGAAAGCGGCCAGCTGAAGTTGACAATAGATAAGTTGAAGGCCGCAACTGGTACCAAAGAATTCACAAGATTGGCCGCATGGTCACACTATACAAAACACCATCAACCACGGCAAACCATCTTCACACGACAATACAAGATACTTAGCAAGGGGGGTTCATTGAAGGCTTACATTGGATCTGTGAAAAAACTGGTACCCTCTATACCGATACAGAGTCAAACATCCAGACGAAAACGTGTTCTGGTGCATGTTCATTTCCAGTCCAGAAAAAAAAACACAGATTGGGCAACAGTGGACTTCCGGGTCCCCTTTTCATTGAGCCAAGCCCACACAAGCGGAAGGTGGCGGCAGAACAGGACAATTGGGGCCCTGGCCTCACATCTAGTTCTATGGACTGACTGTAACCATTGGTGGAAAAATGGAACAAAAGTCCCAAAAGTGTGAAGCCATACCACGCAGTAGAGGTGTGTTTATCTGTTTCCCATTCGAATTCCAGATTGGCAATGGATATGTGAGATATTCATTGGGATATCCCTGGATTTGAACAGTTTTCCAAGCAAGTGGTTGGTGAATCTCCCGTAGGCTATAGTATTGTAGCATATTTTACGATAATGCTTACGATTCATGCATATTGTATATATATATATATACATACATACCTGATATATATATATGGTGTATATATATATATATTCTAAATACATTGCCAATGTATATATCAGGTATATATAGTTTTAAATATAACGTATATGTATGCACAGGTACACACATAGATTTTACAGAAATCCTCCCCATGGTGGTTGCCACCACTCGATGCATAGCGGGGATGAACCTCATGCCACGCAGCACGAGCTTCGGCATATTTTTGCTGCCTCAGAAGAGAAAATCTTCGAGGAAATGACATGGCCATGATAACATGGGTCACGAAAAATGTCCCCATTGAACATCACCCAACCTTTTTTGGTATATGTAGGTTTTTGTGGTCTATAATGGCTAATAATTAAATTAATTAAACCAAATGGGACAGTTACCCACCCCTGTGATAATTAAACTAACGAAACTGTGTAAATCTATGTAAAATGGACTATCTATAGATAATTTACCCATTGAAACAGGGTGATTTCGATAGCTATGTCAAATTTCCAACGGGTACTGTAGTTGAAAGTTGGGTGTTGAATGAGAGTGACAAACAAATTTTGGGGGGGTTTGGAGGGGATCGACACTGTTGTCAGCGCCAGCAAACCAAAAATAGACTTGACTAAACTGGTCACTTTGCGGATCGAAAGCCATCGGTTTGAGGGTGCGAAGGTTGAGAGAATCTAGAATACCATAGAATTCCCATGCGGACAATTCTATATATATATAGTATCTATCTGTATTTTTACTTATACTCTATTATATTAATGTGAGAATAGAGATATGATTACAAATAGAGAAAAAACAGCAACCAAGGAAGGGTAGGACCATAAAGAGGATGAGATGTGAACGTGAAGTCACTTGCAATGCAACATAGTTCACCATGAAGCCACCAGTTCTAGGACGGAAATTCATCACCGAGGACAGAACTTGTAGAGCTCGGTGCCTCTTTCCTGACATATTACACGGCACGACATGGCTGTTGCTGATTCCCCAAGGTCTCCAAACCAGATCAGGCCTTGTCAAGGGATTCAAAAAATCATAATCCCCTCAAAAACCTTAACAATAGGGGCGTATCTTAAGCCCCTATATAGTATCCTATGTTTGGGAGGTTAGCCTCCCATGGTAATTTCATGTGACTTCCATAGCTACAGCCTGGTTTACCAAAGGTACAGCCCAGCATAGGCCTTGGCTGCAATGGACTCGTTCACTGTAGACTCGGAAGAACCCTGGGGGCCGTGTGGAAATCATGGTATGGTGTCGCTGGCTATCTGGCTGATCTAACGATATAATAACATAGTTCCATCCATCATGTTAAATTACAACATATAGGTGGGATGACCTTCTACTCGAATTGCTGAAGGGATCAAACAAAAAAAAACACATACATATTCTCCCAACAAAGCAATGATCGTCCTGCTATGGGATTTGGAAGGCCGTGCCAGTCAAGCAACTGGATTGCAATGAAATCAATGAAGCACAATATCTGGTTTTGAGCTATGCATGTATACTTTTTTTGAGTCAATAGTTAAGTATGAACTATGTTGGTTTATATACTATGAACAATACATAGTTGTTTCGTGCATGTATGGAACAATGTTTGACTTCTGAAGGGTGTTATGGTGTTTCATCTTTGTTTTGCAGCATTTAGGAAGTCTGCAGATGGCTTTTTGCAAACTAACTTGATATCCTGGAAGATTCCCCAGGATTGGGACCCATCACTGCTGCCTTCAAACTAGAAACACAGTATAGTACTTATATCATTTATATGTTCATGTATACATTAGAATCATTAGACAGTACATGCAGTTGGATCCCAATGCTTCCAGAGAAGCTACAGTACTTAATAATCTTAATATATTGATGTTCCAAAGCCCAAACACTGCCTCGATTTGTTTTCAGCTGGATCCATAAAGGGACGAGATAGGCTTGTCCGTACCAGAAAATGAAACGGTTGATCATCATTTTCGCCATCAACAGCATTATTTTGGGGTATGCCCCACATTCAGACACACCCAAATCACACAAATATCATACGATTAAGTCCTATTCCATACCATAATAATATCCCATTTAAGCCATTATATTCACCTGTTAAATCACGAGGCCTATTTTCGATGTTTTAAATTGTTTAAATCACCGCTGTAACTAACCGCTTTCCTCGGCCAACAAAAAAACCCGGCGCGCGAAATGCTGCTGTGCTGCTTCTGCCATGACCAAAAGCTGATCCGCATCAGCAGAGGACACCGAGGACGCTAAGAGTTGGATGCCAACACCAAAAACATATGTTGATCCATGGATCCAGGGACCAATGTTGCAGAAGTTTGTTCTCTTGAAGAATACTTACCCTCTGGCAGCTATGGAAAATGGCCCATGTATGGATGACTTCTGATGATTTACCCATTTACCTACGAAACATGGTGATTTTCCATAGCTACGTTGCCGTTGAATACACAGAGATTTTGTTCTTCACAAAATATATTTTCTCACGTTCTCAACTCCTCCAAGAGTGATAGCGGAGCATTTTACCCGCCCCATTTACGTCTTGATTCAGCCATCCGAGGCAATGTCGGGCTGAATCATCCTTGGATGTCTGAAAATCCGTTTGCTTAGCTAAAGGTAGTTATAGCCAAGAACAAGCACTGTTCAATCGTAGGCTGGGTGATTGGATGAGCTGCGATCGAAGTGCTGCGATTGACTGGGATTGAACATCAGTGTCTGCAGGGCGGCCATTGGTGGAACCGATTCAGAGCTGAAAGTGCCTGACAATTTTATAATATGTTATACATATTAATATAATATAAACATATATAAACATCAAACAAAACCTTATATTATGCAGCCGATGAAAATGGAAGACACGTAGAAGTGGAGCAACAAAGATTTCTCATGTTTTGTATCCTTTTTTGTTTATAATTGGTATCTATACAATATTATACAATGTGATAAGAAATTTGAGGGCATCTCAATGTTGACTCTGACTAATCTCACCGCGACAACATGAAATGACATCAATGTTCACTGGATCTGTACAAAAAAAAACAACTTCACAAACTAACCTGACATGACGGAAACTTGTTTGTGGTTGATGTCTCCAATGCAATTATCGCTAGATATCAATTGTGTGTGCGTCGTCTTAAGGCTGTTTAAAAAAAAAAAAACATAATAATGATAATGAATACGCAAAACACGTTGCACGATATTGAGGGGTCTCGTGTTGAAGCAATGGTAAAACCATCTGCAGCGACACCTTCACAATGTTGTTCAGGATTTTTCACATGATCCCTCACCAGAAACAGCGGATATGGCTTTTCGCGGGACTCGGTTCTCGAACGTTCCCAATTCCATGCGTCCTCCAATGGCATTGCCATGTTTTGCAAATGCCATGGAGCCAGATGGGCGGCAAGCTGACTGCGCAGAATGGAAAGCAGCTTCAAACATTCACCTTTCATCTTTTATGCCAGCTTTAACCGTGACCAATCTGGTGAAACTGCAAGCGAAAAAGCTTGGAATAGCTGTCTTAGTTGTCTCGACTGAATCCATGAGATTCGTTTGGGCCATTGCATCAGCCAACATATTCCAAGCAATCCAAATGTTAAGAAAAATGCTGGAGAGAATTTGCTTGCAACATTTGTTGCAAGCTTTTGGTTTGTCTTTCATGGCCGGGTCACTGTATTCCCTGTATTTGATACACTGTATCCAAATCATGTCGCAATCATCGCTCCAAAAGGACAGCCAAAACGCTTGACGTCTAGTTGCATATTTGACACTTGACAGACAATTTTTGAAACCCAGTGAGATGTCTTATTGCTGAAGGTGGTCCATCTGTCTGTGGGTTGAATTCTTGTCACATGATGGGGAGCTGGTTGGATATGAGTCAAATGGCTATCATCGAGAATGTAAAAAAAACATCGCACATAAAACTCATAAAACTCATTTCAAGGCACAAGCAGGGGGCCATCTAGAAACCATCATAAACCACACTTATAGTTGGTTACATCCCCAGTACGTCCACCAAAACCCTGGAAAGTTCTACAACGTGGTGCCCCCCAGTTACTGTGCTAGATTGGTTTACAAAGCAATTACCTGAAAACATCATGTTTTCTGTATTTACCATAAACCTTACAGGAGTTAGATATAAAGCAATCCTGATATCCCTGGGCCCTAGTCTTTCAAGTCTTCGTTCATCAATCCATGAGTTCATCCCACCCCGGCCCCTCAGCGCCCTGGGAACACGTCCAAGGGTGCAAAGGTGGTGCGGAGGAATTTGGCGAGGCTCACATGGCTTACCTCGCGGCGGAAGGATCCACCACTTTCTTAAGCCAAATAGCCATGAGCGATAAAGGGCCTATATATTTGGGATAAAATTATGAAACGGTCTAGAATATTCCTTGTGTTTTTCCTCTTGTGTTCACAGCTTTCAGACTGGGGTGTCATCAATGTACTCAGTTGACAGTCTTCTTGTAAAAGGCAGGGCTGTGATCGTTCTGTGACCAGAATTTGACAAGGATGAAGAGAGCCAGGGTGTCTGATTTTGGTGAAAGAGTGTCTGAAGGCCAGCTAGTTCAACACAAAAGGACCAGGTTTAGAGCAGATCCAATATGACTGTTGTCAAGAACTGCTTTCTTAGCTACACACTTCTGCAAAATATTTTGCTCTGTAAGTACTGTATTTTATCCTCAGAATGTTGCGAGTGGCAGCAACAATTTGGTGGGGCTGTCAGCGAGCTTCGTTGGGTCCCGCTTCGGAGAACTCTACATAGTCTACTTCTCAATGCCAAAATAAAAAATCAACATCTTCACACCCCTCAAACAATATATATATATATATTATATATATATATATATTATCTGGTAACCACATAGGAAAACCCATTAGGAAAACCCATTCTTGGGATCTCAAAAGTCGCAATTTATCAGGGATGTACCAATGATGGTACCTGGTACATTTTTCGGCCCAGCCTTGGCCGCTCCCACGTTGGGATCCAGCAAAGCAATCAGAGCGGCCACTGCGGCCTGGGAACTTTCCATTCGACTGATCCGCAAACATCTCAGGGAGAATGGTTAATATGTGCATAATATGTGGTTAACAATGGTTACCCTCTGGTAAACTAACATAGCTATTGAAAATGGCCATTTATAGTGGATTTTCCCATTAAAAATAGTGATTTTCCATTGCTATGTTAGTTAACCAGAGGGTAACAATGGTTATATCATAATTCTTAAGAATGATTAACCACATGGCTAAACAAAATCAGAAACACCAACCTGAAATCATGGTTAATCTTTGATAGTCAACAAACAAGTATGATTGTATTAATTGTTTTATATATTTTATATTGTCCATGTATAGCAAAAAACGAAATGACTGAAGTACCCATCCAAGGAGGATGAATCCCCAAACCTCACCATGATTGCAGTGGAAAACAGCGAGATCACTATCCCATATGCTAACCTTTGGGCTATATTGCTGGTAAATGTTACCATATATATATATAGCAGCATACATGGATCCTATGGGTGTTATTAACCCTTCTCCTGATCGATTTTCGACAGATCTCAAGCGGAACCTGGGTCGAGCGCACCTGCAGCAACTCAGACTTCAAGAGCTTGGGCTCCTCCTGATGCACCGCAGCTCGGCGAAGTCACAACCGCCACACCAGCGGGATGTGCTTTTTTGGGGAATGGGTGTTACCAAAGGTATCCACCTTAAAACATCTTAAAAAGGCTGGTTAACTATAGATTTAATGATAAAAACGCCTAATAAGACACGTTGGTGGGTTGATTCCCATTCTTTGACTATGGCCATATTGAGGCGTGCTGTGTATGGGATGTATGGGTCAAATGTCTAAGGTGGTTGGAAGTTGGAACCGGCACTTCCCAATTGTGGGACAGACCTGCACATGATTACACAACATTGAAAATGAGGAGACTTCAGGCAGGATCAATAGATACACATACAATAGATATACCCTCTGGTAAACTAACATAACTATGGAAAAATCACCATTTTTAATGGGAAAATCCACTATAAATGGCCATTTTCAATAGCTATGTTAAATTACCAGAGGGTACACATAAAAAAATGTGAAACCTGGAGCTATTGGACAAATGCATTCTGTCTCCATGTCATTTTGAGAGAAGGGATGTGGCACTGGTGAAAGATCATTCCAAGGATCTGCGCACATTTGGCCCCAGATATGTTTGTAAGATTGAAATACTCTGGAAGAAAATTCTTCACTTCTTGTGCAGAATGCTGGCATTTAGCCAATGAGACCACCAAAATGCAGGCAACGTGGGTGTATAACCCCTCAAACCATCCATTTCTGGTCATTATGGGTCAAAACCACGGTGCCCAAACGGTACCCTAAGTCATAGCTGATTATAACGGATGGTTACCCTCTGGTAATTTAACAGTTCGCTGTTGAAAATGGCCCAGTCGAAATAGTTGATTTACCCACATAGTTCGCATGCGTCGCATGGTGATTTTCAACAGCTTTTTGTATGTTTACCCGAGGCTATTGCCCCGTTTTCGGTGATTTCATTGTTTTACCCATCCCCAAGCCACGCCCAGGCGGGCCTCCGATGCCTCCGATTCTGCAAGATCCAACAGGAATTGCTCCAGTGCTGCCTCCAGCCTCAGGTCCCATCAGGGCCCATCAGGGCCCCCTGGTACCGGTGCCCCAAAAATAGCTGCGATGTTCCCAAAAAAACATCATGTAATATCATGTAATCAGATCCAAATTCTGTGATTCTTGTTTCTTTGCGTCCTCCCATGTTTCTTGGAAAACCTGGCCAATCCTATAGATACCATGCAGAGGAGCATATTTGGTCTAGCTAAGATAGCTAAGTAGGAGATATCTCCATTTATAGCTCAAACATTCCTCAACTCCTCATCCATAAAACAGAAAGCCTCAAAAAAACGTGGCAATGAAACATCCATGAAAATCCACCATTCATAGATGATTTTCCCTTTAACCCATATTTATACCTTCAGTTTAGTCTGGGTTTTCCCATTTTTCAAGCAATTTCCACAACGGGCCTCTCGTCTTCGCCCTTCTCAGGTGGTCCTGGAAGACCACGCAGGACACGTACCACCTGGCGTTTTTGTTGGGTATGGCGTCATCCCAGCATCACTAGACAATTTTCCCTTTAAAAAACGGAGAATGATCCTCAAAACCATCTTTTTTAAGGCTGTGGGAGGTTGATGAATTGCAGCGTCATTATACACTATTTATACCTAACTGATAAATGGGAAAACTATACTCAGTATAATCCCTAAAAAAAAACCTGGGAATGACCATCAAGGATAAAATCGACCATGGCAATTGTTGACTTCGCCATCCATGCGTATTACGCCGCCGTGTTTTTTCGCCGTCGCGCGGCGCCACTTTTAAGCCACTCACCAGCTGCACTTCGCCGGAACCGTCAGTGGCAAGATCCAGCACCACGCAAGGATGCCTTGGTGGAGGCAAAGCTTCCGAGTTAGTTGGGGGTTAAAAAACATCACCAGGAATGGGCCATAAGCAAAACGTTACATTCATATAGTTTCATAAATATATATATATAATCATGATTTATCTTGTTTCTGTTCATTGTTATTCTCGCTATGAATCATTATCATTATATGAGTGTCATTATACTACACTTGCCCAACCAAGGTCAGGCTAGGTATCCATACGTGCTGGATATACATCCTACGAGGGGCAACAACTTAACCATAAATCCCAATAATAAACCAACATCTGTGAATGGTTCACGGTCAACGCAGCTTTAAAACAACAAAACAAACAAACAATATATATATTATATATATATATATATACTATGTCAGATATAGTTATATATGTATATATATATAATTATATCATATATATTTAAAAAAAAATATACATAATAATAATATACTATATATTATGTATTATGTATTTTATATATATATATTATATGCTATACATTATATATTACATATAAAATATAAAATTATTTTATATTCTATGTAATGTATAATATATATTAATATCATATCTAAAATATTTAATTATTTATATATATATATCATATACTGTATATATATATAATATGTTAGCCAATAATAATTTGTTTTAATCAGGAAGTATGGCTATAGCACAAAAGCCTGGTACCCTTGTGTTCACACGACTGTAATTTGCAGTGGTGGATGTTAATCCGCCTATATGAGAAATCTGTAACAGAGGTTTGACCCTGTAGTTATCCTGGTTGGTGGTTTCAACCCCTCTGAAAAATAATAGTCAGTTGGGGTTATGATTCCCAATATATGGAAAATAAACAATGTTCCAAACCACCAACCAGTATCAGTCTTGTACACCAAGATGGACCATTAAACACGATGAATTGGTGATTGATCCATCAAAGATTCAATGTCCCTAAACTGTCAGCCATGTTTGATCCATCTCCAGATTGCCCCCCCAGGTTGTGGATGACTCAAAAGCGCGCATCTTTGCTATCCCAATCCACAAGTTGGTTGGGTACATCCCATGTGGGCTTGTCTGAAAATAGGACAACCGTGTCACCTCCAAATTCCACTGGTTTTTCATCATGTCCTCATAAATCCATGATTATTTTGGGGTAGCCCTCATTGTCAAATACACTCAATTGTCAATGCATAGTCATGTAAGTTGGTGATATATAATATATATTTAATTAATTAACATGCATTAAATCACATATGCCATGTATAATTACCTCATCTCTAGATGCTGTGTCCATTGGGTTCGCTGCTTCCGGACATATCCAGCACTCTCCAGCCCAAGCATCTGCAAGGTCCGAGCCATGCCGGGATTCCTCGAGGATTAGATTCGTGGGTCTCAAAATGGGGGATACCTCAAAATTACCCTCCGGTACACTAACATAACTGTGGAACATCACCATTTTCAGTGGGTAAATCCACTATAAATTGTCATTTTCAATAGCTATGTTAAATTACCAGAGGGTACATTCGAAACATCATAAAACGACAATTTCAATGGAGAAAATATGAAAAACTCATACGATTCAACAATATTTACCATGAAATCTTTGGGTACCCATGGGTACCCAAAGATCGCCAAGGCACGCGTTTGCGACGTTCAGAAAGAGCGTGCCATCCCTCAACTGAGGCCGTGTTGGGAGTTTCGAGTGGGTGTTCAATGGTGGGCTTAGGATCACAAATGGGCACCCAAATGATAGCTAATTTGCTGTGTCACTTTTATATCTTATATGGTTTATGAATGTTTATGATCCGTTTTTTCCGACACCTGCCAGGTGAGGGTTGTTAGATTTTATCAGAGCTGTTCTCTTCCTCCTCGACTAGCTCTCCTCTTCCTCCTTCTCCTCCGCCTGTTTCGCCTCAACTTCCGCCAAGCTCTTTGCCAACTTCCCAGCTCAACCTGGGACATTCCCAGCGCAATGTGCACCGCTGGACCTCAACCTGGGACCTTCCGAGCTCAGTGTGCACCGCTGGACCTCAACCTGGGACCTTCCGAGCTCAGTGTGCACCGCTGGACCTCAACCTGGGACCTTCCCAGCTCAGTGTGCATCACCGCTGGACCTCAACCTGGGACCTTCCCAGCTCAGTGTGCACCGCTGGACCTCAACGGCCAGATAGAATGTCAGATAGAATGCCAGTAGGTGTGCCAGATAAAGTGCCAGAATGTTTGCCAGATAGAATGCCAGAAGATATGCCAGATAGAATGCCAGAAGATATGCCAGAACAGATTGCCGAAGATATGCCAGCTAGAATGCCAGAAGATATGCCAGATAGAATGCCAGAAGATATGCCAGATAAAATGCCAGAAGGTATGTCAGATAGAATGCCAGAAGATTTGCCAGTAACAAAATGTATAAATGTCATGGTGGGGATAACTCGAAGTAAAGTACTTACATCGTATAACTTAATATAGCATATAGGGTTTATAAACCAACTAACATCACTGGGGGGTGGCAACCATGTTGTATTTTTGTAGCACAACTGGTAATCAAACGTGGCAGGAAAGATCTGGAAAGCCCCCAGTAGACTCAGTAGACGATATGCAAAAAACCAAGGATATGGCGAACACACTGGACCAGATATTTTTTGAAAATCTGGTGTTCGTCAACAACCGCTATGTTGTCATTTTCAGTCAAATTTAGAGTCCGTATGACCAAAATAATAAAACAAAAGAAGATGGATAACACAATTTGGCTTCCGCCATCTCACTGATTTCTGAGTTTTGGCTAGGTGCGTTTCGGTGGAAACTGGATGATGTATTCTCATCCCGGAGTATTTGTGTAAGTCACCAATCGTTGCTGAGATCCTTACATGTACAGGCTGTATACAGGCATGACTATACTAGTTGGTGGTTGAGCCACCCCTCTGAAAAATGATGGAGTGAGTAACAGTTGGGATGATGACATTCCCAATATTAGGAAAGTCATAAAATTAATGTTCCAAACCACCAACCAGTATATATATATATTTAAATTATGTAATTATAAATCACCAGTGAAACAACCAGAAACAGATCTCTTGCAGGTGATGCTTTTCGCGAAAAGGCAGGCAGTTTTCTCTGTAGACCTGCCTTGCGTTGTACCATAGTTTTGTGTCAAAAAGAATCACGGACCATGGACACATTGGACACATTGGAACCCAGGAAATGAGAGACCAGGTCAATGGACAAGCCAGTGGTGGACCTCGAGACCTCGAGAGGCAACAAAAAGTTGTGCTAAGGCCGACATCACGGTGATTCCCAATATCGGACGCACATTTCGACTTTTATGTCTCTTCAAAGTGATATCATTGGTATATCATGGATTCTCCAGGGTTCTTCATGGTTCATGGTAGATTTCCCCATGATATTATTAAGTTGTCCGTTGCCTAAACCACAAAGGAAGCACCAGGTCAACGTAGCCGCGCCAAGTGTCTGCTCCCAGGCTCCACGACCTTCATGCACGTGCCCGAACAAGTGCACGCGCGGCGACAGTCTCCTGGCGAACGAATAAAAAAGGCTGACGATACGATGCGCGAAAGGGACTAAAGGGGGAGAAAATGCAGGACTAAGGATATCTAAGATCTTAGTTATCTATACGATCTATATAGGGGACATGATCTACGCTTTAGAGTCATTCAACTAAATAAGGACAGGATATCTTAGTCTTAGTTGAAACTGACGTCAAGTAAGAGCATGCATTCCATACATGTACAGTATATCATAGAGTATATAATGTAGAACAGTTGCAACTGGGTTGACGCCTGATTACTTCAATCAACACGTTTGCCAACAGCGTTACTGGGCAGTCGGGGACAATCCTTTTCGGGACTGCGAAACATTACAAGGTGGGGTCCCAAAAATTGGTTTTAAATTCCAATCAGTAGGGTAGATATATGGGTTTGTCTGAAAATAGGGTATATTCCCAATTATAACCATTTAATAGGGATAATGATCATTAACCATTGGGTTAATAATCCACTATCATGATATATCTATAGTTGATGGGGTTCAGTTCCTCCAACTTATCACTGGGAAATCCCACCAAAAGTACAAACACGACGTCAGACTTCTATCAAGTCGGATAGAAAAGACTAGGTAAAACAACTGTTTGAGGCTGCTTGCTGTACCGGTCAAGGAACAACAAATAAACATAATGCGTTCTCCTCCATCTGAAGCCTCAACGCACATTTTGTTCCATGATATTTAGTCTGTCTGTCCCATGGATGGGCATGAGGTATGTAAGAACGTGTACCATGTTGTCTTTGTGCCTCATGAGTGTGCCCCGTACCGCGTGTGAGAGATGCCACTTCAAATCCTCTGTTCAAATATGTGGATGTTTCCATGTTTCACTGCAATCTTCCACCAGCCAGATCCAGTTTATGTTACTGCGTACGTAGAGCAAACAACATCAACGAACCACCTGGACACTCCAGGTAGACCCATAGAAAATTGATAAAACATGTACTGCTTGGTGGTTCACCTACCGCTCTGAAAAATGATGGAGTTCGTCAGTTGGGATGATGACATTCCCAATATATGGAAAGTCATACAATTAATGTTCCAAACCATCAACCAGTATATATATAAATTATGTATAAATCACCAGTGAAACAACCACCAACCAGTGTATGTTACGCCTCGTGGTGTTAGTACGCTGACCGATTTTAGAGATTTTGAGAGCATTGGCACATGCAATTTTGGAGCCTCAAAACACATGAGCCATTAAACATACACCTATCTCATCTCATGAAATACTAGTTGGTTGAACAAGGTGTCCCTACTATGGGTTATCATATTCATCATAATCTCCAATAAATTGGGTAGTATAAGTCCGTATCAATAGCCAATCAACCATGGTATTATCCATTATTATCTTGTATTATCCATTCTATAGATTCTTATAGATGATGAACAACCAGGGTATCAATCACGATGTTGTTCCTAGTATAATAATCGGTCAACCAGGGCATTATCCATTATCATCCATCGTAGAGATGATTATAGATGATTATAGATGTTTGTAGATGATTATAGATGGTTATAAATGATTATGGATGATTATAGATGATTGCCATATATGTTTCAATGATTATAGATTATCATATGCCAGTATGTTCCTTTTATTTCCTAACCAATCAACTAAGCAGTGTTCAAAATCCTTCTATCATTCCTTTATACTGGTTGGTTTATGGGGATTCCCCATTCTTGGATTATGATAATCCCCAATATATAAAGGGTAGTATGATCCCTGAACTAATCATCAACCAACAGGGGTTTTGAGCACTGCTCAGCTAAACAATGTTTCATGGCTCGGCCTCTTGGTCTGACGACTCTTGTGGGATAAGCGGCCCAAAGCGCTCTTCAACCTGGAACGGAAAAAAAACAGCTGAGTTTGCTCGTACAGTATGTACATGTATAATGTAAATACATATTTATATATATATATTATACATTTATACACAATATAACATTTACACACAATATAACATATATATATATAATTATATATATAATTATATATATTTGCATATGTATAATGCAATACACTTATATACACTTATATATATATATATACATAATTATATATATGTGTGTGTAGACAATAAATATATATATATAAAGCAACATGTTGTCTGAAAACAGGCTACGCACAAAAGCTACAAACATGGCACTAAATCCCCTAAATCTGCCTATATCCAGAGTCGGATCGATCTGCGAAATGGGATCCTCAATCAACACAGACCATGTGCAATTCTCTGGAATGGAAATCTAAGGTTACCTCTCCTCAAAGTATCCCCACAGCAACAGGAATATGTAAGTAATTACGAGTAAACCTCTCGTATCTCTCATACAGGTTCATGGGGGGTAAGCCCTTCGTGAGGCTTCGTTTTGGGAGATACGGGGTACCCTTAGATTTCCATAGTATCTGAGTCCTGATAATTCACCAACCTCAGAAGGCGGGCCATTGAATCAGTGTCTGATGTTTATGCATTATGTACTTGTCAGGTTGGTAAATAACCATCAGCACTAATCATCAGCACTTAATCCTCATATCTCCTGTTTGATCATGTCCGTCATTCCACCATCATATTCTTTTGGACGTACCAGTACCCCACTGGAAAGTTCCAGTCGCCCAGTGAGATCGCTGTCCCAAGAGACTCTCGGGAGCCAATGTGATCTGCACCTAGACCAATGAATCCAGGGTTGGAAAACCCCACAAATTACGTGGCAAATGCAGCTAAATATTCACCAAGGCTAGGTCCTGCCGGGGGCAGTAACAAATATATAATATATAATATAATATACATATCATTATAACATATTAAAACAGTTCATAGCATATGACTTGGCAGAAATGTAGCTTTGATAGGTTTTGGTCTAAAGACAACCCTCCTAAGCTGCCACGACTCAATGCTCAACTCACAAGACATGGGGTTCCACCAGGATCAACAAGCAGCCACATTGGTCACACCTCCCGGTATCTCCGAGTCTAGACAACAGCATCAAATTATGCATACATTACCACATGCACATTTATGTGCTAGCAGTTCTATGTGTAATGATTGTAGATGATTCTTGTTTTCATGGGGAAAAAAACCCTTGAAATATCCCAGATTTCAAGGGGGTTCTGACCCAGTCACTAATGTTTTGGCTACCCTCCAAAGTCATATATATATATACAACTATTGTTGGCTGAATAAAAACACATGTTGTTTATTGGTAGTCAAATACAATCGCTGTTGATTAGAAGGGCCAACAACAAAAATAACACGTGACATAATACAACACAAACAAGACAACAAACAAGATAACACACGACAACCTATGATATTATTCAAGTTGCCATTTCCAAAACAACCTTTGAACACCTACAGCAGTCAGTAATTCCCTTGGTATACCCATCTCCACAGTCTTGTGACAATACTGGGGTTGCAGTTTTCCAAAATAAAGTGCCCCCAAAATGACAGAACATGTTTAAATTGCTGCTGTTTTAGTAGGTTTGACATTTCTATCTTTCAAAATGTATATATATATACATATATATATATATCAGCATATTTATCAGCGTATATCAGCATTCAAAATTACCATTCAAAATTACCAACCTCACATGGGTCCGTTCAAGAGTGGTGGAATTAGCCGTCCACATGATGTTGTCAAAACCGCAAATCATATCAATCATATCGTATTTTTATTTAATCTTTGGATATCTTTGGAAAAACCATGAGACAACCAAACCCCTGGCCCGTTAAACAATGACAACCCAAGCGGCGCAAGGACGACGCCGAGGCAAAGTCCAAGATCTTGTGCGGCGGCTCGTGCCTCAGGCGAATACAACGATAGGATTTATTCTATGGGGTTTATGGTCCAACTTTTAAAAGTTTATAAATGGAAGGGGCATAACCATTTGATTTACTCACCAGTTGTTTGCTGCTTAAATGTCCATATTCGATGCCAGATGCTGTATTTACAACAATGCTGTAATGTGCGTACAAGAATGTAAATATAATAATCCAACTGTTGCATGCTTGAGATGTTGAAACTCGCATTTGGTTGGTTGCGATTTAACAATATTAAACCAAATTGAAATGAAACAGGGGCCACGCTGCTACAATAAATTGGGAAAAAACTAGCGAGGAGAACCCTACGTTTGGGTGCTTCCTGAAACAGGGAGACACCGAAATGATCTGACATTACAATATATTACATTAAACTACTTCAGTGTTGTGAAACCCATGGGTAGGGCACCCCCCTTTGTTAGGATGACATTTGGAAAAAAACATGAACAAACAACACCTTTTAATTCTGCTATGGATAGCCGGCAATAGCCAGATTAACTACCCATCCACTCAGTTTCCCCGGTGGCCCCATCAACCCCTCATTTATAGCTCTCACCTGATTTATGTATATACCCTCTGGTAATCCAACAGTTCGCTATTGAACTTGACAATAGAAATAGTGGATTTCATTGAAAATGGTGATTTTCCATAGTTATGTTAGTTTACCAGAGGGTAACATATACATATTGATGCACAGCCCATCCATTCCTCCATTTAATCACCATCATTTTATCCCTATCTATTTCAACAATCATTGACTGTTACAAGACCTTTGAAATGATATGGGGTATCAGACCCCTTGGTATGGAGATGGCACCCTTTCTCTGAGAAGCGTAAGACGTGTAGAAGCGTTTGTTTGGTGAAAACAAAAGAGAAGCACTAAATCAGGATCACAACGAACAAATGGATACTCCATGCTACTCCCACGATCATCTATCCATGTATATGTATTCTACACATACTGTATAATGTAGTTTGAGTATGTATATATAATATGAATAGTTCTGATGAAATTATATATATGTAGTAATGCTATGTGTTCAATTATGACTAACGGGTCCATAGCATCAAACAATGTTTATCAACAAACAGCATGGGAGTGTTGCCATCACTGGTGGGCTAAGTTCAAAACATCACAATCCAATCACGGTCTGCTGGGATCATCAAAGGTATGTAGAACAAAAAACGCATGCAAAACACACACACACACACATCACGTTTTGTTTGCGGACCTGTAAGTTTTCAAACGCAGTGCATCTGTTGCGTATGTTCTGCACTGTGACCTGCACGCCAATGTGCCAGGAAACATCCCCCATCTAAATGATCACAATGTGCTCACCAATACAGACTCGCACGAAAAAGTGTGTAGTGTGCTTGGCAGAGTCACTCCTGACAGATTCTGGCTCTTAAAATTCTTCCCAAATGTCAAGCTCTGAAGATTGCTTGGTAGTGTCAACCCTTCCAGACTCTGGTTGAACACATTACCAAATGCCAAGCTTTGGAGATTACTTGGCAGAGTCAATCCTTCAAGCAACCTTCCATTTGAACCACCGTCAAATTTCAAGCTCTCAAGACTGCTTGGAAGGGTCACTCTTTCGAGACTTTGCCTGAACCAAGAGCCAAGTGTCAAGCTGTTAAGATTGCTTGGCAATGTCACCCTTTCCAGGCTCTGATTGAAATGACCGCCAAATGTCAAGCTGCGAAGACTACTTGGCAAGGTAACTTGTTCCAGGCTCTTGTTAAAAAACTGGCCAAATTTCAAGCTCTGAAGACTGCTGGGCAAGGTCACTTGTTCCAGGCTTTTGTTGAAGAACCAGCCAAATGTCAAGCTCTGAAGACTGCTTGGCAGAGTCAATCCTTCTAAGCTTTGATCGAACCAATCGCCAAAATGCAAGCTCTCAAGACTGCTTGGCAGGGTCACTCCTTCCATGCTCTGGTCGAAGAAAGTGCCAAATGTCAAGCTCCGAAGATTGTTCGGCAGGGTCACTCCTTCCAGGCTCTGGTCGAAACAACGGCCGAATGTCAAGCTCTGAAGACTACTTGGCAGACTGAATCCTTCCAGCCTTCGATTGCTGCCACCTCCAAGTGTCAAGCTGTGAAGGCTACTTGGCAGGGTCAATCCTTTAAGTCTTTTGTAGAAACCACTCCCAAATGCCAATCTGTGAAGACTGCTTGGCAAGGTCACTCGTTCAAGGCTCCGGGTAAAATTTTGGCCAAATCCTAGTGTCCGAAGACTGCTTGGCAGGGCCACTGCTTCTAGGCTTTGGTTGAACATTGGACTGCTTGGCAGACTAACCCACGCCATGTTTTGATTGAAATCGTGGCCAAATGTCAGACTACGAAGATTGTCTGGGAGGGTCATGCGTTTCAAGCTCTGATTGAAATAGGCACCAAATTCTAAGACCGTCAGACTGCTTGGCAGCATCAATTGTTCTAAGCTCCAGTTGAAATTGTGGTCAAATGTCAAAGTCTGAAGATTGTTTGGCAGCGGTACTTCTTCCATGCTCTGGTTGAAACTATGGCCAAACGTCAAGCTCTCGAGACTGCTCGGCAGTGTTACTCGTTCCATGCTCTGGTTGAAACTATGGCCAAACGTCAAGCTCTCGAGACTGCTCGGCAGCGTTACTCGTTCCATGCTCTGGTTGAACCAGTGGCCAAACTTCAAGCTTTGTAGACTGTGTGGCAGCTTCACTTGTTCCAGGCTTTGATCGAAAGCATCGTCAAACGTCAAGCTGCGGAGACTGTTTGGCAGAGATGTTTCTGCGAGCCTCAAATTGAATCTGTGTCCAAAAGACAAGGTTTCAATACTGCGTGGGAGAAGGTGCAAACATGAAACTGCTATACCTTCTATCCGAGTGACCCCCTCTATTGAGAAGTCGACCTCCGAGATATCCTCTTGGGTAGAATGCCATGCGACATACAAAGTTGTCGGAACATAAGTGCAAGAGAGTGTTGCAGCCTTGCCCAGAATGCCCTGCTGTCGCAATGTTTGGTCAAAGAACAGTTGTGCATCATGGTTCTGCAGTGTGAGTTTCCCACCTTTCTTTGGTGGAAGTTTTCTTGAAATCATTTGGCACACTTCCCAACCCAGGGAGGAACCACGGACTTGCAGAGTGCATCCTTCACCATTCAGGCATAGTACTTGAAGATCAATCACATCAGGGCTATCAGCAGCAGTCTCTGACATCAGTTGCCTTCCAAAACAGTGACACCAGGCTTTGCCGGCTGTCAAACGTCCAAACCTGGTTTTGAACCGCCATCAATTTGTTGTGTCAGGCAACACAGTCAAACGCATAGAATACATGGTTACATATCATAGTTATCATATCTATAAGGTTCACATAGACGAGCAATACACACCACCTTCTGTCATCACCTTCCACTATTTGATTATAGGGGTCGGCATGGGCTGGCCTCCTTCATAGTCTGACCTGGCAATTTGTGTCCCAGTTCTATCCATTTTTCGGTTCCAAGAATAAGAATGAGGCATTTAAGACCCCAAACTACGGCAAATGAATAATGAAGAATGATGATCAAAGATCAACCATTATACTGTTTGGGGTATTCTATGTTCAACAAAAACCCATGGGGGGTAAAACCCGTTGCGAGGTCGTTGAAAACGACACCATGAGAACGACCCTATGTATGCAGAACCGGTGAAATGTCCAATTGGAATGAACCCTAAATATTATATATATATAAATAATATCTCAAACATTCTCAAAGATATGTCGTTTTTTTAATGGAACAAACAAACAAAACAAACCTGGTATCTCATCAATTCTCATCTATCCACCGCCAAAAAAAACTCCAGAGGATCATTTTCTCTATGACATTAGCCAATGTTCAATGAGGGAAAATTTCGAATGTTACAAACCAATTTGGGTACTTGAAATATTGCTTGGTGTTCGACATACCCCTCTGAAAAATATGAGATCGTCAGTTGGGAGTATTTTGCCCAATATATGGAAAAGTAAAATTCATGTTCCAAACCACCAACCAGAATATCTTGAAATGTCCTCACTTTCAGCGAGTCATAAGCGCACACCAAGTAAATTTCGGGATTCACACTACCCACTTTGGGTGGTTCCGATGTTCCATGTGTAAACATATCAAACAATATCAACAAGATCACCTATTTTTCAAAACACATGGGATTGTATTAAAAACCCGATATCTTTTGAAATGACCCCAAATCACGTCACGTTATCGTTTTGTTTTTAACTCTTATCGTTTTCTCAGGTGGTGAGCTCCCTGTAGACAAAAAGTGTGATTTTTCCAGTTTTATGTGGGTGTGAAAGCATCCTTAGTCTAGTCAACAGATGTCATCATTTGTTTTCATTAGTTTTCGTCGCCATGAGTTTTGCATTCATTTCCTCTCATGTTCCTTTCATTTTGCATTCATTTCATGTCATTTTGCATTCATTTCCTTTCATTTTACTTTCATGTCCTTTCATGTTCCGTCGCTATGTATCAAAGATACAGGTCTTCGAAAGCTGATATGCTCAAACCGGACATGTGGGTATCCACCCAAACACCCCCTTTTTTTGCATATGTCGTTCTGTTATCGTTGAGCTATCGTTTTGGAGGCCTGTGCAGGTTGCCATTTTCAGGTTTCATGAACATGTGCATGTATAAGTTCGTCATCGTTTTTGTACTCTGATCGTTTTCTGGGCCGGTAATGCGCAAGCCAAGCTGAAATAAAATGCCGGGGGCTATTATACTATCCCACATGTTTCATCATTTTTCAGCAAAAACGATTCAGATAGATTCAAGTAGACCATGCCAGCGATTGCTGGTCGAAACACATTTCAAGCCCCCATCTCCACGCCCAGTGACGAGACCAGCAGGTCCAACCCCTGCGGGATCTGCATGGAATATGCTGCGGCCATGAAACCTGCTGTGGGGGCTAGCGGTGTTAGGAGTTGGTGCTGCAAGCGGGGGGTATATGAATAGTGGATATTGTATGTGAACAAACGTGTATATATGTATGTATGTATGTATGTATGTATGTATGTATGTATGTATGTATGTATGTATGTATGTATGTATGTATGTATGTATGTATGTATGTATGTATGTATGTATGTATGTATGTATGTATGTATGTATGTATGTATGTATGTATGATGTATGAATGTATGCATGCATGTGCATGTATGTTTGTATGTCTGTATGTAGGTATGTAGGTATGTAGGTATGTAATGGTATGTAGGTATGCAGGTATGTATGTAGGTATGTATTTATGTATGTATGTATGCCTGCCTGCCTGCCTGGATGTATGTATGTATGTAAGTATGTATGTATGTAGGTTTGTATGGATGTATGGATGCATGGATGTCTGGATGTATGGATGTATGGATGCATGCATGCATGCATGGATGGATGGATGTATGTATGCATGTATGGTAGGTATGTAGGCATGTAGGTATGTAGGTATGCATGTATGAAGGTATGTAGGTATGTAGGTATAATTATATGTATGTATGTCCACATATATCTATGCATATAGATATATACATATTATGTTGTAAATATGTATATATATATATATATATATAAATATATATATATATATATGTAATATGTCCAATAGAGTACTTACTATAATGTATTCTAGTGATATCAAATATTAGTGCTATAAACTGGTATAATTGGAGGGTCTATTGTTGATGACCCATCGAAGGCTTAGTGACAAGCCAAGTTACCAATCGTTTGGAGACCCTTGGTGTATGGGTGACGCGTGATATATCATGATACGGGTATTCTGAGTATGGGGTTGCTACGTGTTAATACAATTTGCTGTATTATATGGAAAATGGATGATGGATTTGATCCTTTATGCTCATTTATTATCAGTTAGTATGGTATCGAACAAAAACAACTCTGTTAACCCCCAGCATCTGGATTTCACCAAGAATACCATGGTTGGATCACCCACTTCAGGGACCTAAAAAACTATTACTAAATGACTATATATTTTTATAAAATTACATAATGAAATCAGATAATACTCTATGTTTTCACATAACTAACAATGGTTTTCAGTGTAACATATTCGATTTCATATAGTAAATCTGTGTTAGAATAAGTAACTATTAATATCCAACAATGGTTTTCACATGTTTTCACCAATTCAGCTCTGCTTTCAGAAAGTCCACTGACAGACAAACCCATCTGGGCGTCCGAGGCCAAGGTCGAAGTTGAAGTATTCGGTCAATTTCATTCATGTCGAGTTAGGATTAATCAATTAAATAGAAAACAAATTTATTAAAAAAAAATAAGTCACTATGATTCCTATTTAGAAGGTTGGTCATGAACATATCCTCAGAACCAGAATGCGAAGCGCCAATGTCTCGCACTCGGAGTGGGTCAGCGATCGATTTCAGGGATTTTGTTTGCGAAACTATGGTTTCCCAATGTTTTCCAATGGTTCTCAACCCAAGACCTTCATGAAAAACTGATCTTCTGAAGGAAAATCAAGATAATTAATCTGGTCCCACATCAATGAGACGACCATGGCGCGACCATGGCTCAACTGTGCCTTGTTGGTAGGGGACACCGAAAATCTTCAGGTCCTCCACAGATCGAGGCCCTCGAAGAAAGTGTGCCCCAAGGCGGTCTTTCCACCTCGGATCATGTGGAGTCGGTGGCTTGGAAGACTTGGTATAAACCAGGCTATCGGGTTTTAAACTGGAAGCCATTTTTTTCATATTATGCATATGATAAACATGTACATATATAATAATATAATATCATATATATATACTGCAAGAGGGCGCTCAGCCCACCAAACGCACGCAGAGGCACCCTAACCTGTTTTGCTTCAGGCGCCTTGATCCCGAAGGGGCTACATGATGTAGCAAGGTTATGATACTGTACAACTAATTATGATTGGGCTCATGTATAGGCTATTACACCTAACACCCCTCCACAGCAGAAGACTTGCATAGTCTTAGTGCTGCTCTTGGTGAAACTAGCCGCCACATTGCTGACAGTTTGTGTAGCCAGCTTGTAGCGCTTCTCTACGTGAAACTCCTCTCACTCTTCTGATGTTTGCTCGCACCATTCCACAGTTTTGGTTGTGGAATCTCTGTCCTCCTCCAATGATGAACACTCGATCCTCAGGTTGGGATCTTCTTCTCATATCCGTAGATGCACTGGCCGATTCTGTGGCCATTTCACTAGCCCCTCCATATCTACTGTTTGCTCCCTTGCTCTCAGTTTGGCAAGATCTCTCATCTGTTCTCTTTTCTGCTATGCAGGCAACGGCAGCGTGAGCTCTTGTATGAGGCTTAAAATGCCCAAAACTGCCATCGCATGCATGAACAGGAAGTACCACCAGAAACCGTTTCCTTCCTGTTGGTCTCCACCTTGCCCATTGGCAACACAGACTTGGCACAGCAGACATGCCACCACTATGCCCCTTTTCGGGTGCGTGGCATTATCTGCAGTAGCTCACCGATCCTTGTCCCTGTTAGGGATTTTGTTCCAAGATCGGACCAGTTGCTTGCACTTGGTTCTTTCTTGATGCTAAGGCGTTTCGCTCGCGCCACATCTTGCAACCACAGGTCCTTTATGTCCAGGTGCTTTAGCTTTCCTGAACCTGATCTGTTTGCAATTCCCTTTGCTGCAGTTGAGTCAGTCAGTAGTGACAGATCGAGCTTGTTGAACCCGATTGATTGGAGAATTTGTTGGCTCATTGGTCCGGCCGCTGCTCCACGCGTCATTGCGTAGAACTCAGCCTCTCCGCTAGCCAAGGCAACTACTGTTTGCCTTGCACAGCTTGTTTCAATTAAGTGCTCTCCAAACTTCTCGGCGAAACTGCTCATTGATTTTCGGGTCTCGCGGTCTGAGGCCCAACCTGAATCTGTGTAAACACAGTAATCAGATGGTTGATCTTGGTTTTCAAGCTTCCAAACTTCAGTTGGATATTTGGCTAGGTATCTGACCAGCCGCTTCAGCTTCAACCAGTGCAGTCTGGTTGGAGCAGACATTCCAGAGCTAATCTCACTCACAGCGAACTGGATGGAAGGTCTGTCAAGGCTTAGGTATAGAGCTGTCCCGGCAAGGCTGCGAAATTCTTTTGCCTCTTCAAGTTTCAAAAGCTCTGATGCTTGACGATCACCTTTCCCACATTCTTTGCTGCTTGGTGTGTCTACACCTTTGCACCCGTCAAGGTTCATGGCCTTTACAAGGCTCTTTGCGTACTTGGGATCTGCCTCACAAGTGAAACCTTCTTGGCTTCCCTCGCGCCATTTGATGATGCGGTGCAAATGGCTGGTTTCACCTCCAGCATCCGCTGGACCAATCTTTGGGAGAACCTTTGTCTCAAAGTTCTCGACCATGAGAGCATCCAGCTTCTCCAGGTCTGTTGCCATTCCTTCCGCAAGGAAATCATTTCCGTGACAGGATAGTGTCACCTGCCACTCAGGCTGATAATACAACACACACACACGTTCTTGACAGCAATGAAACCACCTTTTGTTGTCACAATATCTTCCACGTGTTGAGACCATCTCTTTGAGGCTTCACGTGTTCCGTTCATTGCCTTCAATAGCATCCACAGATCTACGCCATCATACAGATCTTCTGGAGGGATGACGGCAATTCCGTCAGTTGAAGTTGCACGAAAGAAAGCCACAGATATGTCATACCTCGCAGCCAGTTTCTTGCCTCTCTGTCCAGGCCTTCTTGTGGCTGCTGCAGAGATTACCATTCTGTGACATTTCAGTGGTGGTGTTCCACTATAAACATCATCCCTTTGGTGTGTGTGTTGATTTCTTGAGCTACACACCGACTGCGTACTCCATCTTTGTCATCTGGCAACGCTTTCCAGCCATCGACCCATCGTGACTTCACAATCTTGAGTCCAAGCTCTCTGGCTTTGTCCCAAGTGATGTTCACCTTCACTTGGTGCTCCTCCATTTTGTCGAGCTCTCTTCCGCGTGCTCTTTTCACCTTTTCCGGAGGAAGTGGCACTCCCGTGCGCTCATCGTAGGCTGGGATTTCATCCAACCTACCCCATTCAGGATACCCTGCTATAGGGATGTCGTGCAGGGTCGGCAATCCGCAGATCACTTCCGGCAATCCAGCATTTGCGTTGTGCTCCTGTTCAAGCACATCCACTGGTTGATCCGCTGATCGCTTGCTACCCTGTGCTGGCGTTGGCTTGTTTCTCTTTGCCAACTGTTCCACCAGCCTTTCCTCGGCTTGCCGCCGGATTGAGGATGCGGTGCTGCCCGCGATCCCTTGGTTCGCGGGGCCACCCGCTGAACCTTGGCTCGGGGCCACCCGCTGAGCCATCCGCGGTGCTAGCCGCAGACTGAGTCGTGGTCACACCCGCTGAATCTGCAGTGGTTGTGATCTTTCTCCTCACCACTCGCTCTTGTTGAACATCTTGCAGTTCATCACCATCGTCGAAAATACCACCTGGCATTTCAACTTCCATTTCTTGCTGCTGACTGCTCTTTCGGGCAGCTTCAGATTTCTCTTGGCCAATCAGTTCTTCGAACCTGGCCCCACATTCTTGTTGTGCGGCTTCTGATCTTCCACACTGCAGGAACATCCTGGACATCCTGGTGTGGGTCCGTGACGGATTTGGCGGTCCAAGGTTATATAGACCGATCGTTGCCTCCCAGGAGTACCTGGGGCTACCACACCGCCTGGAGTGCCAGGCATTACCGTTGGCACACCGCGAGGCTGCCATGGTGAACCCTTCATCTTGTCAAGGTGTTCCAAACTCCACCTCCTGTTTTCCGGCCTTCTCCAGATTGACCGGCACCGCATGATGCCGTCTGTTGTGCCGATGTAGTGCTCATCAGACTGTAGGCTTTTCCCAAGCCACACACCGATTGCACTTTGTGCGTCCAACTTTCCTCGTTGGCTGTCTGCCAGTTTGTAGTGGACTACCTCGAAGCATTCTGCTACTTCTCCTTTGAATTCCCTGCCGCGTAGGCGCTCATATATGCTCATATGGTGTCTTGCCGTCAGTCTTGATCACATATCTTGTGAGTAACCAACCAGCATGCCTTGCGGCCCAGGGATAGTGAACACTGGTCACTTTCATCTTGTACTCTGGATATCTACCTTCCATAGCACTAACCACAGTTCTCACCTGTCTTGCAACCTCAAGGATTGCACGCTCAGCATTGCCATTTGATGCATGTGATTCCCAGGGTGCATTTTGGATTTGGGTTTCCTTTCCCCATTTGTGCCCAACAGCTTCCTATAGGGCTTTGGTGGAGGGTTCTGCGTCTGTGTGAAGAATGACGCGTTGACGTCCGCAGAACTTTAGCGCTTCTGTGACCGTGTGAATAGCGTGTCCATTGACCCCTTTTGCCACAACCTGTGAGAACACAGCTCCAGTGCGCTCATCTACTATGACCAAAACTGGCATTACGCCTTCGGCTTCTGCCTCTGGGCCTTCTGGGGTCATCAGGTCACTTACCATGGTTTCTTCTTGGGCTTTTGTTTTATCCAAAACCCTGCCTAAAAAGCAGTAGTCCATGGATACCCTGGGAACTTCTATCCCGCTTGGTTCTGGACGCTTCTCGAACTTTCCCAGCACAACAGTGATCACACCAACTTCTGAGAGGTAGAGGTGTGTGAGCATGTGCTTGTCGTATTCCTCCTTCGTCACTGTGTCTGGAATTTTCTTTGCCCTTGTCACTCTTTGTTCTTCAGAGTTTTCAACTGGTGGTTCATCGGGTAGTCGAGGCAGCTGCTCCTCGATGACATCTCCAGGTTGTGCATCTTGTTCAGTTTGGGCTTCTTCCCCTTGCTCGAGTTGCTCAGCAGAAACAGCTTTCCTTGCTGGCCTCACTGCTGCTACAAGTGGAGCGGTGCTGCCCGCATCCAACTTGGTACTGCTTGAAGAAACTGTTGACTTCAAGGCAGCAATAGGTTGAGCAGCTGAACTCGAAGTCATTGCCTCCATAGGAAGCCAATACACACCTCTCTTCTTGATGAGGTTGATCTTGGCTGATTCAGCCAGCGCTTTCTTCAACTTGTTTGCGTCCTTTCCCAAATTCATGCACTGCTGTTGTGGACCTATCACTGTCCAAGTTCCTTTTTCAGCAGCTCTTCCAGCACTGAGCACTGAGAAATTCACCTTGTCAGACTCAGAGCATTCAATGCTGAACTTGTTTGAGCCTGCTTTGAAGATGCTGCGCTTCTTCTTACCGGTAGTTAAAGGTTGACCTGTTACTGTGACCATACCATTATCTGGTTTTGAATCAACTTCAATGGCATGTTTGTCAAACCCTTTTGTGAAAAGATGGCTACCGGCCCCACTGTCCACCAGAACCTCCAGGCCTGCGTCGAGAACTCCAGCAATGAGATCTGGACTTGCTCCCATAGGCTCCGGTTCCTCATCGGGGATTGGAGTGCCAGCATGAGGGCGGTGCTTCCCGCTCCCCTTGTTGGTTTTGCCATTCTTTTCATCATTCTGCATCTTCCTATACAATCAGCCTTTATGTGACCAAATTTGTGGCAGTACCGACACTGTTTATCCTTGTGGGGATTTTCTTGTTGAGGGCTTACCCTTTCCATCTTTGGATTTGCCTCCTTTTGTGAATTTCCCTGGGTCCTTCCCCTTACCACCGGTTTTACCACCTTTACCCTTGCCCTTCCTATTGGGCAATGCTCCAATGTCCATGGGTACCGGAATTTGGCTAAGGACCCTGTTTGTTCTGGCAATTTCCAGTAGCTCACTTCTCAAAGCTGAGTAGGTGGTCAGCCTATAGCTATTTTGTATGGATATGGCTTCTCAAATCGGTGTTTTGGATACCGTTGAGAATGATTCCTGCCAACATTTGGTCATCGATGGTTTTGCCAGATTCTTGTTCATATCTTCTTATATTCTGTTCAAATCCCTCAAGTTCTGATTCCAAATCTTTACCTGAAAACTTGGTGTTCAATATCCTTATACACACCCTATCTGTCTATCTGTCTATTTAAATATCTGTCTACGTATCTTCCTAACCATCAATCCAACAGTTTGTCTATCTAACAACCTATCTGTCTATCTATCTTTATCTCTTGTCCGCGGGAACAGCATCCATGGATGTCCGCGGCTCCGCAGCTGAAACATACAAATCCAGCATACGCGGAGCGAGTGCTTCCAGCATATTTTCAGTTTCAGCTACGGCGTTGTGGAGCCAGGATGCCTCCGGTAGGGTCGTCTTGGGATCGTGGCGGAGCCACGCGTCCCGCAGACGGAGGAGATCACGCCTCGTTGTCTGGACCTCACCATAGTGGTAGGATCCATCGGCTGCGTGATAGTTGGGCCAAGAATCTCCAGAGTCTGGAATTTCTACATGGATGGTGTGGTCATCACACATGGACTTACTTGCGAAGAGATTATCTTCGATAACTGTCCGAAGAAGATTCCTGAAACGGAGAATGGTGCGAGTTTCCTTGTTGGCCATCAAGGATAAGGAAGACATCACAGCGACTGAGACAAACGGTGATGTTTCAGAAAAAAACAAGCGAAAAACCTGCAGAATTTTTGGCACCAGCAGAAACAATTGAGCACTTGAGCCATATTGTCTGCATGACGAAAAGTACACTCAAAATCAGTGCCGCGCAGCGAAGCATGCAAAAAACACCAACAAATAAATAAGATAAGTAGAAATAACTTTTTCAAACCTTACCACAACAAGAACTTATTCCTAATAAGTACCTTAAGTTCAAACTAAGTAACCCAAAACTACTTTAAAAAAAATGTCCTAACTTAACCGAGAAAAGTCTTAACTTAAACTTGATTTAAGTATGCTTATAAGTAGACAAGTACAAGATGAACCCCTAGTGCCCGGTGGTCGCATGTTGTAACCGGAGGACCGACCCAAAGGTCCCAGAGCCGAGATTCAGGTGGCAGCTGGCGTCGGGGACGTAGCCTCTTTCCATCAACTCCCGAGGCAAGAGCTGGGGCGCTCGCGTGAGACAGGATGGTGCTGTCAAGGGTAGTCGAGGCACCTGAGGCACTTGGGGCACTTGGGGCGCCTCTGTGGGGTGGGCTTGGTGGGGGTGGGGCATAAGCACGCTGTGGAAGCCCAAGTGTCGAACGTGCACAGGCACGATGGGCTGGGGAGTGTAAGAGATGGCAAGATTTTCCACCTCAGTCGACAAGTCATGGTAAGTCAAATTAAGTCATGGTAAGCCGATAAGCCCCGAAGCTTTAGTAAGTCATGGTACATTGTTGAACGCATCTTTTGTCGCTGGGTGTCGGCATCCCCTTGCCATGAAACCATCCGAAAGAACTCATCGAATTTAACTACTTCGAACTCCGACTTATAGACCTCACCGTCTTTGCCGACGAAAATTCTGAATTCAGAAGACTAATTCTGAAAACATTGAATGTTTATCTTTGGGACGGTATATCAGTCGGTTCAGATGTTAAATATCATACATCATTTACCAAAGATCAGCAATCATAAATCACATTGCATCCCACGTATCATTTACCTGGTCCCCTTTCAGCACAAGCCTACTGGAAGTTATACCGACCGCCTGAAAGATAGAATATTGTACTCTTAGTCGGGACAAGATAGAATATCAAAAAACACAGGGTCTAGCACCCACAAGATAGAATATTCTGAAATTAAGATAATCACAAGATAGAATATTCGATCTTTTCGCCGGTCGGTATAGATAATTATGGAATTGGGGGGAAATCCCAGTAAATCCCAGTAAAGCTGCGAAAACCTCTTTTTACAAATCAGCTAAGCCAACATGCCAAGTGGACTCCCTCCTGCCACGGTTATATATCTATATCTCTCCTCTAAATAATATATATATATATACACATATCTTGGAAATCAGCACACAAACCTTTCCACGCAATGGAATGCTTCCACATATATAATTTGGAACCATGTCACGCCAGGGTCTCCAAAATATTCTATCTTGTCCGTTTTCGTATTTTTGAGCCTTATCAAAGCTCAAAGAATAACATTAAACAATTGAAAAACAATGAAAAATATAAAACAAAAACAATGAAAAATGATGGAAAAAAGAGAAAACAACAATGAAAAATGATGAACAAGAGAGAAAAAACAATGAAAACCGATTAAAAATATGGAAACAACAGTGAAAATGATGAAAAATAGCGGGAACACAAACAAGGAAACATGATGAAACATAGAAAAAAATAAAATATGATCAAACAAAACGAAACAACAATGAAGAATGATGAAAAAGGGAGAAAAAACAACGAAAAATTATGAAAAAGATAAAAAACAATGAAAAATGATGAAAAATAGAGAAACAACAATGAACCATGATGAAAAATTGAAGAAAAAACTATGAAAAATGATGAAAAATAAAGAAGCACAAATACCAATAAAAAATAATAGAGAAAAAACAATGACTTTTTCCATCATTTTTCATTGTTGGCTCTCTATTTTTCATCATTTTTCATTTTGCTTCTTCATCATGTTTCATTGTTTTCTTCTCTTTTTCATCATTTCTCATTGTTTTTTCCCCTCTTTTTCATAATTGTTCATTCTTGTTTCTCTATTTTTCATATTTTTTCATTGTGTGTGTCATTGTTGTTTTTCTATTTTTCATTATTTTTCATTGTTGCTTCTCTATTTTTCACCATTGTTCATTGTTTTTCCCTCTCTTTTTCATCATTGTTCATTGTTTTTTCTCTCGTTTTCATCATGTTTCATTGTTTGTTCTCTCTTTTTCATCATTGTTAATTGCTTTTCTTCTCTTTTTCATCATGTTTCATTGTTTTTTTTTATCTCCTTTTCATCATGTTTCATTGTTTTTGTTTTTTATGTCTCATCATTTTTCATTGTTGTCACTCTATTTTTCATCATGTTTCCTTGTTTTTTTCCTCTCGTTTTCATCATGGTTCATTGTTTTTTCACTCTTTTTCATCATGCTTTCTTGTTTTTTTTTCTCTTTTGTTCAGCATTTTTCATTGTTTTTTCATGTATTGTTCATCATGCTCCCTTGCTTTTTCT